GAAGGGCCTGAGGGTGCATGTTGCTACTAAATAGGAGAAAAGTGAACCCTCTTACTGACCTCTCAGCAATGCTCACAGCCTCAGCTCTATTGAGAATCTGAAGCTCTGATGTATGCAGTTTATGTTAATTAGTCGCTGGCTTTATCAGAAAGGTCAGCATCTCTCTGATTTATCATAACTCTTGAGGGAGGGCTTGTACTGAGAGACTGGCTGACATGGAGTAAACAGCGACAGTTCACCACACTGCAGGACAAAGTGAAGGAACATACTGAAGAGAAGGTAAAAAGATGCTGAAAACTGTACATGGAGGAGTTAGAGTACTCTCCTCCCCATCTGAAAGTGCTAAAAATGCAGCTGTACTGGGCAGTCCCAGCCCTGCAGGACCTGCAACAAATCAGCAGCTAATTCTCAACATCTGCTTCTCGTGCAGCCCACAGAGTCAGTTATGGATGATGAATAGCTAAGCACAGCTATGTCACTGGAGGCAGCATTGTCACATCATAAAGAGCTCCCTCTATCAGTGCATCAACAGGACTTTGTGTACACTTATATCGGGCAGCACTGGGTAAATAGTGGGGCACTAGTGAAAAAGAGGAAATGAAAGATGCTGGAGAAGCTATGTCCAGTTCCCCTTGAATCATCAAGGAAAGACACAGAGCTGCTCAGCTGAGCAAAGAGTCCTTGGAGTCCCAAGACCACAAGTCCATAAAAAATAGGAGCAGGATTAGGCCATTCAGCCCCTTGAACCTGCTCTGCCTTTCCATAAGATCATGGCTGATCTGACATTCCTCATGTCCACCTTTTTACCTATTCCCTGTAACCCTTGATGCTACTACTGATCAGAAACTCTCAGTTCTCTACATATGCAAGTCTCAGTTCTATACATATGAAAGTACTTAGAGCCTGGATCAGTACATGGGACTACGATATTGTGGTTTGGTTGAGAGAGGGACAGGACTGGCTGCTCAACATTCCAGGGATTCATTGTGTTGGACGAGATAGGAAGGTAAAGGAGGTGGAGGAGTTGCATTACTAATCAGGGAGAATGTTACATCTGCACTCAGAGGAGACATGTTGGAGGGCTCATCCACTGAGGCAATATGGGTAGAGCTCAAAAATATGATGGGTGCTATCACTCTGATTGGATTATACTATAGGCCTCCCATCAGCCACCGAGAGATTGAGGAACAAAAATATAGGCAGATTATGGAAAGGTACAATAAAAAGAGCTGTCATAGTAGGTGACTTTAAATTCCCTGATATTAACTAGGGCTCCGTTTGAACAAGAGGCTTAGGTAGGGCAGAATTTGTTAGGTGCATCCAAGAGAGTTTCTTGAAACAGTATGTGGATAGCCCAACTAGAGTAGGGGCCATACCGGACCTTGTATTTGGTTGATTGATTGGTTGACCAGTCATGGATAATAAAGGCCTTCTGCCTACCAACAATCCCCTGAGATTGGTTGTCAGGGAACTGACCAGCTTGGTCTGTGAATAAGACAGAGAGAAGCTTGGCAGACCAGAAGACAAACCACTAGGTCTGCAGCAGTCAAATAACTCCCTTTTGCAGTTCTCAGCAGTAAACCACTTTAAACCAGCAGAAAAGCAGCTTATCTTTCCTTTAGCTCATTATTTAATTACCTATGATAAATAGCGATTCTCATTAAGTACAGAAACCTAGTCTGTGCCTTCTATCAACATTTCTCTAACAATCAGGTAGTTTGCGATTCTATACATTTCTTTTAAAAAAAAACTTTAACTTGTATGATGATCCTGGGAATAGTGAGGGCTGGTTTTCAGTGCACTACCCCAGAGAGTCATTATACTCTGTCTTGGGTCATGTAAAAGTGAGAGTAGCTATCCCTTCAAGGGATATCCCTTTTCCTTTCTGTGTTTTCAGTGTTTTCTGTGTTTTCAGGTAAAGAGTTGTGACAACCCGGACTGGTAAAAAATGAAGGCATCATGGTAGCTGCCAGGAAAGTGAGTTGTTGCAGATCAGCTAAGCATTAAGAGAGAGAAAGCTCTTTCGGTTGAAGATTCTGACTGGCCACTCACTCAGTGCCCTGGATAGTCATGTGGGTGCAAATGATGGTACCCCACACCTTTGAGAGTCCAGCAGAGGAATTGGTTTCAGTGCCTTCGGTTTGAAATTGTATACACTGCCCATTCACACAAACAAGGCATCAGTGACCTGCAAGGTAAAACGATATGTTGCTGTTTGTAACATTCTACTAAGGTCCACTGCTGATTTTTAGAAGGTGCCAGAGGTGAAGATGGCAATGCCACAGTGACTTTGACAGCTCAACGGCTCAGCAAGCAATATTACGAACAAGGGAAGACACTTGAAGGTTTTCTGCTTCTGCTTCAAAGCTCACTTCCAATTTGCCTAGATTTTCACAGTCTCCTGCAGCATAGATTCAGAATCATGTATCTTCTTCTTCTTTGGCAGTTAGACACAATGCTTTAGGTATGTCTTCTGTTGTCGTCCCAACCTGTGGTCAGCTTTTCTACATATTTCATGCCCAAGGCTTGGGCTCTGCCCCGACGATGCTGATATTCATTGCTACTCAACTAAATCTCTGAAAACTTTAATCCTATGTTCAGTTGTTGCCTTGCTCACCCCTCAACTGTGTGGTCCCACAATCCCTGGAGGGTTTCAATCCTTCCAGCACACCAGCACATGCAGGGTACTTGCTCTGATAGCATTGTTTGCCAGCCAGGTTTCCCTTTAATGAGCCCACCTAATTTCTGGTACCCTGTGCTACCACCTCCTTGCAGCTGTAGTGTCCATAATGCATCGTATAACCTGTACACGACTGACAATGTTATAAATTGAGCTATGATGAGTTGACAAACTTGTTAACAAGATCAACTGTCCCTTCTCCAAAGCAGGTCTACTGCTGGGACCCATCCTTCTGTCCTGAGCAAAATTGCTGGCAGCAGAAACAACATGCCGAACTGACACACTGGCTGGCAATGCTAATTTTCATATCCATCTCCCTCTTCCCAACCCCACCCAGATCCAAAATCCTGAGCTAACGTTTCCCAGAGATCTGTCCTGCAGTCTTAACCTTTCATCATATACATGTTAAAAGTTGATGAAGGACAAAGAGTTGTCAGAGAGAGCTGTATGTTAAATTTTGCACATGTTTTATAAAGCTAGGAAGCTCAGTATGGAGTGCAGATGAGAATAAGAAGTTACAAAGGGATATAGACAGGCTCAGAGGACAAAACTATGGCAGACAAAGTTCAGCGTGAATGAGTAAATGGTCACTTACTTCTGGGAAAGATAAATCAGAATATTTTCTTAATTATTCCAGACTAGTGACCAAGCAGGAGCAATGGGACCTAGGTACACAAATCACTAAATTCAGTCCAAGACACAATCAAAGGGACTAATACAAGGTTTGCCTCCATCTAAAGGAATTCAAAATTGAAAGAGTGAGCTCAGTTCTAATCTCAGAGGTCCTATAGTGTGCTGTTAATGCCTACCACTGGAATCATCCGATTTGGGCACTGACGAACTTAGACTCCATTATCCTGTCAGTTCTCTCTGTGACAGATGCTGCCTGACCTCCTGATTAGAGTGTTGTATCTGAAGTCAAAAACACTCTGAATTTCACATTTGCTCCATTAAGTCATAAAATTGAGCTACAAATTCTAACTTGTACATTAGAGAGGTAGAACATTAACTGTATATGCTATAGCTGCATTTTTAATTAAAACTATTCACATCACTCCACCTTATATGAATTGGGAATATGAAAATGACAGTAGGTCATTCGATGAACATTTACAACATATTGATTTATGTTTTTAACGTCCTGTTCAATATAAATACCACAGCATATACTGTTAGAAAAACTTGGACTACATTTCAAATGCAACTGTTGTTACCATACTGGTCAGGCTACCTAAAGTGAGGCATTTATCATATTATGAGAGTACTGAACGCCATTTATAAACCATGCCACCAGAAATAGCAGCTCTTGTCAGACTATAATTAAACAGCTGAAATGTGTCCAAGTCTCCAGAAGTGCCTGGGATAAACATTTGCACGATCTGAAGCAGATCGATATGGCCAGCACAGTTTGTTGAAATAATATATCCCTATTTATAAATATTGTTAATTACTGAGGTTTAAACACCTTTGACTGTCTGAAAAGACTCTTAAAATGCAGAACCTTTGACTCCATAGCAAATTTAGACACTACCCCACTCAACTTTAAAATATTCAAATGGACTTCAGACCTGAAAATTCTGAAAAGTGTCATCTAGCAACAAATAATTGATACTTTGATGGGGTTTCCTGTTACCTAAACATGCTGTACCCAAGATATCATATCACCAATGTCTATATCCATCAACGCTTGCATCACTCTTTCTAGTGTGGCTACACACCAATGAATTACAATCAGCTTCAGTTCACACAGAAAACATGAACACCCATCGTCCTTTCAGGCCAACTGGAGATAGGCAACAAATGCTGACCTGGTTGTCGATGTCCAAATGTCGACAAAAAAAAAAAAAGTGCCTGCACTCAGAATTTAAATACATAAGGATAGACAGCGACATGCTTAATTCCCAATAGCGTCCCAAAAATAATACTCCAAAACTCAAGAGTTCACCCAAGAGTGGAGTGGGGCTGGTGTTTGCAGCAAGGGCAGAACCAGTATAAACGGTAACATGAGACAGAACGGCCTTTCCATCCTTCAGTTCCCCTATTTGCAGTGTCCAAGTGGAACCTTGTAATGGGGCTTATCCAAGAATCTTTTGCAAAGCAGATTATCAATCCTCTGTTAACGTGCTGGGATGTTACTTCATTGGGTAACAGCAACTCTTATTCAAAAGAAGACTGTAAATATGCCATCCACTGTTAGAAAATTTAATTCTAATTTCACCACAAAATTAGCTTTTGAATACATTGATATTGCATTTATTATAAATCATTACCTTTTGTTTCTAATTTAGAGATTTTAACATTACTTAAATGCACAAATTACCTTCAACGTCGGAGTTCAGATAATTCCGTATTTCCTTGAGAATAAAATTAATCTCCTCCTCATGGGGTTTGGGCTTAGATGTAACCTCTGTTGGAGTGTCAGTGGTTCCTGCAATGACCACTTTCTCCCACGGTAAGAAAAATATAACTCTGCCATCACTAGTTGCTGGGTCAAGCAGTCCCATGGCTTCAGGGCTGTAAGGGTAAAAGTTAAACTTACTTTCAAAATAAGTTGCCTGCATTCGAGTCACTCAATATATTAACTGTGAAAAACATTGGGTGTATTTGGTTCTTAAAATATCATCACCAGTTCCTTGCTCAAGTAACAAACAGCACAATAGCTACTAAAAATACAGCCAACTGGCAACTTTTACCAAAGTGTTCAGAAAATAATTAAATCCCAGAGTTAGCTGCCTTACACAGAGATATTATTATAATTTACCCAAATAATTGTTCAAGGAGAACAATTTGTATTTGTTTTTAGAACATAGCTTTTTCCCTTTTCTTTCCCACTTTCCTTTTCGTGTGAAAACAAAAACCCAAGAAATTACATATGCTGTAACAAAACAAACTTATGTTTATCTTAATTAAATAGCAATTTGCTTCCAGTGCTAAGGAAAAATGTCATCTCCTTATTACAGCATTCAGCTTCTTCTTAGATAAGCCAATTTTCCTGCCTTCAAGCACCCTTTCTATAGCCATTCCAGTTGTTATTCACCTGCTGCCTAAATAAATGTTTCCTGATTGCCACCCTAAACTTTCCTTTCTCAGTCCTGAATCTCTGACCTCTAAAAAAAAAATCTTCAAAATCAGCAATGAATTACTAAATATCTGACACTGCCATAATCCCAGCGAATTGGAATGGAAGATTTTCAGACTTACTGCATTACATCAATGGTGGTAAAGACTCTGCTGTCCTGTAAGATTCTACAATTCTATGATTCTGAGCTGCGGCAAGATTTCATTCAAATCCAAAATCACTCATTTTGTTTCCCAGCATCATTGTATAACTACATATGGCAAACTGTTCCATATCTCATTACATAAACTGAACACTTGAATATAAGCTATGTAAATGACTAATTTTGTACAAACTGTGCTTTTATAACAGAAATTATTCAATATTGCCAAATGCACCTCTGTCAATAATGTTTGACATTAATATCCCAAATTAAAGTTAAGATAACAATATGAAATAATTATCTTTAATAAATCAGTTACTTTCAAATGAATGATTCCTTGAAGGTTTTTTGTACAAAACATTTTGCGTATTTCGATATAAATTTCGAAGGATAAATGAAACAAAACTTGAAAAAGCAGCAAGTTGATTGCTATGAGTTAGGTAAAATCTATGGGATTTATTTTACAGATTAGACCTGGAAGTAAATTAAACTACTTAAAAATAACAAGATAAACCGTTCCAACCACAGAGTAATTATCTTCGTTCACATTACTTTTTATTTAGATTACATGATTATCCACCTTACACTCTGATAGAGGATCTCTTCACACCAGAGCACACAAATTGATAGACTTTCACTTGCAGTGTAAAGTGGAAGAAAGTAGAGTGCATTTCACGACTGTGTTGTAGCTAGTCCACCGTTGTATAACAGAAGTCCAAGTAAACAACATTTGTTTGGGGGCTTTGAGAATTAGTTTTTTAGATGCCTCTAATAATATATTTAGTTACCTATAATAACCAGGCAGGACAATGTGCACACCAGAACTAGGCTGACAAATTTTTTCCACGTTCTCATCATCCATTTGACGCAATGAATCTGTGAAAGGTCCTGTAGCATTGATAACACACTTCGCTTTCACGTCAAAAAGTTCTCCTGCAAAAGAAAAAAAAATATTAATGAGGCAAATGTCTGTACTGTCAAACTCATACTTCTGAATTTTTAACTTCTTGGTGAAAAAATCTTCACAATGAAGTGGAAAAATTTGTGAGTTGCTAGCTTATTCACCAACCTACTAGTCAAGGAAGCTTTAGACATTTACATTGCAGCTCCATATTATGGTAAACCAATTACACCATCTTTATGTGAATTGGTATTCATTGAAGTTATAACAGTTAGCAACAGTTGAGTTTAGTCTTAATGACAACATGTATGATAAATAGATGGTGCTTCCATGGGATCCCCGCTACACTGAGTTCTTGCAAACATCATGGTTGGGTTCCATGAAAAACATATCCTTGATGAGATGACAGCTTAATTCCCACCCCTCACATATTATTTAATATGCAGGTGATACACGCGCTATATTTGAATCGCATGTGTAAGAAATTCCTTACATGTCTTAATGGTCCCCATCCTGTGCTAAAATTCACCTCTGAAACGAAGCAGTCAAACTAACTCCCTTTCCTTGATGTCTTGGATGAGAAATCAGCAAACTCATGAATGATGGTGTTTACCTCAGATTGAAGGTAAGTACCTCAAAGGTTTCAGCAATAGCTGAAGCCAGCTGTTTCAGAGTGCTTTTATGCAGCAGCAACACAAGTGGTGATCACAACTCACAGATCCTACCATCAAGCCAAAAAGACAGTTCACCTATCACCCAAATGAGTAATGTGGTCTAAGAATTTCCATGCCAGTGTGATGCATGGTATGTATGAAGAATAGAAAGACTGGCAGATCATATTAAACAGCATATCTTTTGACCATTTGCAAAATGCAAGGTACTGACTGTACCCAACCAGCCATGCTTGCAGAACTCAAAACAATGTCAACATTAGCTGTGCTTATGTGATTGGAAAACATTTGCTAACTAATCCTGAATTTCCAAGTAATTAACCAATAAAGGCCTGACAATCAGGTTCACAGTTTGGTACACTTACAAGCGCATTAATTATTATACAGGGCCTTGTTCTTTGCAGTCAGAAAGTGTACACATTGTGCCTGCTTCATCTCAACAAAATAGGTGACAGCCATTTTCTCGTTCATTTTCCAGGGTAATACGTTGACCAACCACAGTCAACCTGCTTGGTTTAAAATTTAATCAAAGCAATTAAGTGGCATAATCTAACTGGTAGGTTCTCCATGGAAACCGCTGTCTAGAGACCACGGGCTAACCAATCACAACTCTCTTCGCACACAGGATAAAACATTGTTTTTCCCTTACCAACGATATTCTTGTGAAATTGCCGTCTGCTGTCTCATCAATGATAGATAGAACGATGGAGTGCAGGCAGGTCCATGAGCATATCCCACAGACAGTGAATGTACTGGATCGGAGTCTCCACAGCAGTAGCCATCTGTGCATGGAGGCAGACAGATGCACACATACTGGAGCCAGCACAGTACTGCTAACATTGGCGAACTCCTCCATCCTTTGATCCAGCTTACCAACCATCTCTGATAAACCTGCCTCTTGTTCCTATGGTTTTATTTCAGTTTGACAAAGCCATTAATGGCCAAGAGTATTGGACTGTCTTCTGCCTGGGGATGAGATGGCACCTGGTCTCTGTCAGATCTGCATGTCTAAGACCTGGGGCATTTCTTCCTCAAACAGCTGTGGAGAAATCAATGATGTGCTCACCAGTATGTGTTCTCGAGTCTAATCTAGAAAGTGTACCCACTGTAGAGAAAGATTTTCAGCTGCTACATTGTACAGGTGGAAGACTTGCCTGTGAATTTGCTGATGGTCCAGTGGTTACCGCCTCAGAGGTGGAGATGGAGCTGAGGTTCACTGAGCGTCACTAGTGTCCGCATTGTTAAGCATAAGGGATAAATGTTTGTACAGGTTAAAAATGAGTTAGTGTTGGTGGAAAAGGGAGAACAGTTCCTCATAGTACAATGGAGCTTAATGGAGTTCTTCGCCTTCCCAAATGAGTGCCTCTGTTCGTCTAGCCAAATTGAACATCTTTTCTTCCTGTGGCAAGGGGAGCCGTGTGTCCGAGGTACACTATGGGTTTGCACCCTCTCGGAACAGTTCTGAAACACTTTTCCTACAGTGACACAAAGACAAGGTTGAGTATGATGGAAGTGTATGGGAGAGTCATTAGTATTAATGCTGGGGCAGAAGTAGTGAGGCTTGCCCAGTGAGTGAGTAGGAAGCATAGAGGGCAGGAAAGGTGAGTAGTTAGGAGAATGACATAGGTGAGAACCCATGCAATAATAAGAGACAAGGACCTGAGGATGTAGCATCAGAGTAAAGGGACAACACTTTACAACTGATGAAAAGGAATTTCTTCAGTCAGAGGGTGATTAATCTGTGGAACTCCTTGCCACAGAGACCTGTAGAGGCTAAGTCATCGAGTGTGTTTAAGACAGAGATAGATAGGTTCTGGATTAGTAAGGGAAACAATGAGGAATTTCCCTTCTCCTGATGCACGTTTCTAGGAAACAGACGCTAAAGAGGCCCCCTGCAGAATCAAGGAAATGAACAGCAGATGATTGTGTCAAAAAAAAAAGTCACCAGGGGCCGTGGTGGACTGGCTGCCATAATCTCTTTTGAAAAACACTCTGTTGAGAAATGGGAAAATTCAGCCCAAAGTCATGAATCAAACAGTCTTTTCTAGGGTAACTGTAGCAAGCATTTAGCACTAATCAAGAAAAGAGGGCTTCATTCGCTTGGGTATGCGCACAGTTTAGAAGGTGACGACATCCTCAAGTATATGCCATATGGAAAGATAGCCCATGCGAAGAGGCTACCAGGACCTCCAAAGCTCCAATACAAGAGATCATAAGAGACATGAAAGCCCTCAACATCGTGACGAAAGGAGAGAAGTGACAATCAATGTAAATGGCAACATGAGCTATGGGCAGAAGTTTGCCACCACAATGACACCTAAGTTTAGAAGCAGCAGCACTGCAAACAAATCGTCAGCAAAAATCGCCCTCCCAAGCCTACACCTGTTAGGTAAAAGTCCAGTAAAATCTGAGGCAGGCAGGTAGTACAATTAAATTATCAGCAACCCACATCTTGAGAGCAAGCATTCACCTGCGCAAAACACCTTTAATACAAACTGGAAGATTTTTTTTTGGAGTAGATTTGTAGCTCAGGTTGTGGGTGTTGAGGTTGGTTGGCTCGCCGAGCTGGTTTGTTGTTCCGCAGATGTTTCGTTACCGTGCTTGGTAACATCCCCAGTGCAGCCTCTGATGAAGTGTCGGTGTGTTTTCCCGCCTGGCTTTTAATCTCTGGGGTCCGTTGCGATGGATTGCCTCACTTCCGGGTTTCCTCCATAGTGGAATGTATATGGGGTCGAGTTCAATGTGTTTATTAATAGCATGCTTCATGGAGTGCCATGCTTCCGGGAATTCTTGTGCCTGTCTCTGCCTAGCCTGTCCCAGGATCTTGGGGTTGTCCCAATCGAAGTCGTGGTTCTCCTTGTCCATGTGAATTGAGATGAGTGAGGTTGCACTGAGGATGTTACCAAGCACGGTAACGAAACATCTGCGGAACAACAAACCAGCTCGGCGAGCCAACCAACCTCAACACAAACTGGAAGAATTCAAATGGAGGCAAGTTTGAATTCTCCCCTCACCCCACCCCACCTCAATAATACTGTTATAATTTCTCATTTAATTTATGTGGTTTTGAAAACAACACTGGTCAAAATATATAGAATACATAATGGGTTGGATGGATCTAATATGCTAGACAAGCGAATTGGGTAAAACTGGATCAGAGTTGGTCCCAATAACATGCCAGGATGTCTGAATGGCTTCTGAAATAGAGGATTTATACTTCTGACATGACCATATCATAACATTAGATTTCATTCACTTTACATTCACAGTGAGGAAACCTAATTAGTCTTTTCTGACCTTAAGTTTAATGGTTATTGATTTATTCTACCAGCATCCTTCCTCCCATCTGTCTTGAACCAGCAATCTCTGGGTCATGCTTCCCTAGGTATCCTCAGGTACTTTGCCTAAGTGTCCACTCTAAATATCCAAAGCAACCACTGTGAGCAAATTATGATGAAGAACTTTGTTGCCAAACTAGGATCTCATCTCAGTCAATACCACACATCTATGCTATTCAGCTAAGAGTGCTCAAAAGCAGTCAGAAGCAGGAACCTGGGTGCCTCTGCCACCACAACCATACAAATGGCAAAACTTAGACATGGCACAGGAACAGAAAGGACAAGCAGTGAAAATGGAACGGTTCCATTTCCCGCACTGTTAATACCCAACAGCAACACACCAGTGTTGGGGACAGGTAAGGTACATCCTTGATTCAGCCAAGAGCTTAATGCATTATCCTAATCAGGGTTCTATGGTATCAAAAGGACCCTAACAGTATTTTAATTGGGTCCCACATTGGGAAGCCACCTTGGCTTTCATTTCAGGCTGAAACTGATTTGTAGACAGTGAGAAGGATAAATGAAATAAACGACCTGTATAGGATTAGTAGTAACAATAATTTCTTGGATGCAAGACAGTTTCAGGCATGCTGAAGTGCTTTACAAAACCAACTTCTTTTTAAGTATTTACCTATTGTCATGTTTACAATACAACTCAAATTGGATAGCTTTTTCACCTCCCCAAGAAGTGATATCATATTTGAATACAGCTCCAATTTCAGACAAACATTTATGCCAGGGCAAGTTTAAATTTCAATGATAACGAAAATAGCAACTTTTGCTACAAATCATTTACAGATTTAAATGCCTTCAGCTATAAAATGCATTCATATTAAATAGACTAAATAAAACCTGAATTAACTACACTTAAAATTACTCATCTATATCAAAAGGTAAAGTAACAACACTGATATTGAAGCAATTAACAGTCTTTAAGGTGACACATACATACCTGTCTCAATATCCCTGCACCTAGCTCCACATATGTATTCTTTATTGGTGTCTGGGTCTCTGGTTTTCAGTAGACTCACAGCTTCAACGTAATTGGCAATGGCAGCACCGTACCTGGCAGCAGTCAGAGCGATAGTAAGGTTCATTCGTGCATCGTTGTGTTGTCCTGCAGCAGTGGGCAGATTCCGAGACAGGACATGAGTCACCTCAAGCCACTGACTTGTGGTATGGAAGTGTGTCAGAACAGATCTGTCACATCTGTCCCTGTCATTTTTAATATGTCTCATTTTTAGCCAAGACCTAGAATAATAATTCTAAGAGTAATTTACAGCACTCACCACTTTAAAGGCCCCAACAGTGTCAATTAACAATCCCTGTAAGCTACACAACATGAAAGGATTTTGCTAAGAAATATTTTGGTGCTGTGATTCATGTATAATTCCTTTAACTGTTTTAGAAAACCAGATGTGATCTATCTCCTAAGTCAAAGGTCATAAGTTCTTCAATTTAAAGCGAAGAATTTAAAAAGATGGAAATGAACAAAGCTTAATTAAATTAGCCAGTCATTCTTATGTATATCATTAAAGATTTAGTGCAGAAAAATCCCTGGCAAAAGAAAAGGGAGAACAGAAATGATTAATCACATTTAATGTCAGTGTCTTGGGGGATTTCTTCTATTTATTATTGCAACTGAAGTTAACATCATGAATGTTGTGCTGTGAGCAACATTGTTCTGCATTGCAGGGGTACAGACTCCATATGCCCTGAATTGATAATAACTAGGAGCTAGGTAACTTATAGTAAGGCTAACACTACCACAAGCGAACAGTAATTTTACCAACCATCTCGTGAAAGATGAAGGGAAATTTTTGTAATCAACCGCTAGCAATACTGAATTTTGCCATATTTGGTTAACACGCAGCACACAGTATTATTTGCATGATTACTAGTTACGAATAGAAAGAAATGTTTAATTGGACTACACATATTTAGCTTGACCGAATTTTTCTGTTAAACCGGTTGCAATTTGTCGTACAGTTTTTTAATATTCAGACAAGTTATTCATAACCCTTTCTGGTACAAAGGATAGAAGGCATGTATCTGAACTAGAAATTAAGCCAACATGTGTGCGCTGATAAACTTGTTCAACGAAACAAATACTATAAAGTCATTTTATTCTTCAAAGCTGAAATTGCAAGCCTGCTCAGTAACTCATAGTCAGTTCTCACTTAAACTTTTGATCTTAAATCACAACTATTTCTTTCTCATTTTACACTTCTACCCAATTAAAGTAATAAACTTTGAAGCCTGTGAACTTTGTTCATTTTTTAGAAAATACAAATTGTTAACCTCTGGTCATACTTCAAGTTGTAACTATTCAAACAAGTAATCTTGTTAAATAAATAAAACTAAAGATATTTTAAAGGTTTAGTAAACCAGATAGTAAAGATTTCTCGTGCAGCACTCTAACAAAATACATAATGCAGTTATACATATAACCATCAAGTCAGTGAGCAAAGCCAATTTAATCTGTGGCTCCCCCTGAGGTAAGTATAGTTCAATGTCCTGCCCCCACCCCAACCTCAGCCATAATCCCCATTTCCTTAAGGAAGAGAGTGCATTGAAGTGAAGAAAATTCTTCACTGCAATAAAACGATCTAAAATGACAGGGACAATAATGACAATGAATTTCATGTCTCCAAGTCATGAGTTTGCAATGCTTGACTGGGCTGACTTGTCCAATTAAATTGTTGCAGGTACAGCGGGAGACACTGTTATCATCTGCATGCTTGTGGGGATGGCTCCTCTGGGCTAGTGAACTGTTGTGGAATGCAAACCGCTCCTGTTTTCTTACATGAAGACAACCTAAAGACTCGAATGCACATATCTAAGCACAGGAATATACTTCCTGACAAACACAGGAAGACTGTCTTGTAAGATTGTTTAAGCTCCACATCATACAATGTGCAAATAACTGATCCACCAAGAAAAGCGCATCCAAATACCAAGAATCCTTGCAATGCCTTCCAAATAATGTGTCTTCTTTGATTTTTCTTCAGCTGCATGAATGAATCTGACAGATCACTGCTCAGATTTCAGTCACATTCCATAAAAAAAATATGTTGCCTTTTTGCCTTCCAAGAGAATCCAGATATCAACAAATGCTAAATGAAGTCTGACAAGTACCCCAAAGAAACAAAGTAGTGAGTTTGCGGCTACAGCGGAAACCTTGAATAAATGGGACATGCTGTATACACCAAGGCTAACAACTAACATATGCTTTGCTTTTCTTATGCCAACATAGAGCACATCTACCCTGCAGTAAAGTAGATTCTTTCATTACTCTCTGGTCTGTGAATACTGCAGCTTAGAAGAGAAATTTTCAATGAAAGCTTTAATTAATCCAGACGCTATGGATTAGCTATTGGTTCTTAACGCCTGGTACTAGAGTTCAAATCTAGTTGGGACTAAAATGGTGGTGGGGGGAATTGGGTCAGTCAGAACACACCAAAAATTGCATATATCCAATTTTGTTTGCTCTACTTTACCCCACAACCTATCTGACTTTTTGCTAGTTGCTGCTCTTAGGAAATCCTGGGTGCAACAGGAATAGATAAGAGCCCCTGGAGATAGAAGTAGAATATTAGCATGGGTAGAGAATTGGCTAACGAACAGAAGACAGACAAAAAAACCAAAAGAACTGCAGATGGTGGAAATCTGAAATAAAAACAGGAACTGCTGGAAAGTCTCAGCAAGTCTGGCAGCACCTGTGGAGAGAAATCAGAGTTAACGTTTCATATCTACTGATGCTTCTTCGGAGATATGCTGAGATTTTCCAGCAATTTCTGCTTTTGTAATAGAAGATAGAGTTGAGATAAACGGGGATATATTTTCAGGATGGTAATCTTGAACTAATGGAGCACCAAAGAGATCAGTGCTGGGGCCACAATTATTTACAATATATATTCGTGACTTGGATGACAGATGTGGATTATACCATTACCAAGTTTGCGGATCACACTAAATTGGTTGAAAAACAAATAATAAGGATGGCACAAACAAACAAGCAATCTGCAGTGGCATACAGACAGATAAAGTCAGTGGGCAAAAACTTGGCAAATGGAATATAATGCGGGAAAATGTAAGATTATGCACTTTGGCAGGAAGAATAGAAGAGCTGAATATTATTTAAAAGGAGAAAGACTGCAGAAAGTTACAGCAGAGAGGGATTTTGTAGTCTTCATGCATCAATCACAAAAAGTTTCTTACAAGTCTGGCAGGTAATAGAGAAGGCAAATAGAATGCTGGCCTTTATTTCAAAGGTAATAGGGTATAAAAATAGGAAGGTCTTGCTAAAATTATACAAAGCACTAATTAGACTAAAGCTGGAATGCTCCTATGAACAATTTTGGCCCCTTATCTAAGGAAAGAGGCACTGACGTTGCGAGCAGTCTAGAGAAGGTTTACTAGGTTAATCCTTGGTAAAGAGGGGCTGTGTTATAAAGAGAGTTGCAGTATGTTAGACCTGTACTCATTGACATCTCGAAAAATGACAGGCTACCTTATTGAAACATAAAAGACTTTTTAAGGACTTGACAGTATTAGATGCAGGAAGGTTTTTCCCCTTGTGAAAGAGTCTGTGACCAGAGGTCAGAATCTCAGAGTAAGCAGTTGCCAATTTAAGGCAGAAATGAGGAGGAATGACTTCTCTCACAGGGTAATGAACCTGTGGAGTTCTTTACCAGAAAGGGCTGTGGACATTCAATACTAGATCTGTAGAACTTCTGCCAAATAAAGTCTGGCAAGCGTGTGACCACGATCGTCAAGTTCTGCACCAGACTCAGATTCCTAGCGACAGATACCATTCTTCTTACTGACGCACAACTGAGACTAAACCAGATGATTCAAAAATTTGCTATATATATTACCCAAGATAAGCTTCTAATCATATATCTACACTAAAACCAACTATTTCCATCTCTGAGATATTACCTAATGTCGCTTCAACTTCAACTCATCTCCTGCTACTGAAACTCTTTTTTATCTCTGGACTTGATTATTCAAGCATATTCCCGAGCAGTCTTCTACATTATGGTTTCAGTAAATTTGGGGCCATGCAAAGCTCTGCTGCCTCTCTCCTTATTGCACCAAGTCCCATTCCCCTTGTCCCTGTTATCTCTGACCTATTTAAGTTACACAGTGCCTTGATTTCAAAATTTTCAGCCTTGTTTTCAACAGCTTTCATGGCTTTGCCGTTCCTATTCCCAATCTCCTCCAGCCTAACAGGCTAACTAGACATAAGACTTGAACATAAAGGAGCAGAAATAGGCCATTTGCCCATTGGGTCTGCACCACTAGTCAATGAGATCATAGCAGATTTGATAAATCGTAACTCCCCAAAGAGCTGCCTTATCCTCATAGCACTTGTTCCCCTTATCAATTAGAAATCTGTCTATCTCAGTTTTGAACATAACTTAAATATAACTTAATAACTCGGTCTCCACAGTCCTCTGCAGCAAAGAATTCCACAGATTCAAGACTCTGAGATTAAAAACAAATTCTCTTCTCTGTCTTATATGGGTGACCTCTTACTCAATGATGCTGCCACCTGGTTCTAGACTCTCCCACAAGGGAAATAACCTTTCTGCATTTATGCTGTCAAGCCCTCTAAGAATCTTATGTATTCCAATGAGTATAAGCCCAATCTACTCAAATTCTCCTCATAAGAAAATCCCTCCATACCCAGAACCAACTCAGTGAATCTCCAATGGACTGCTTCCAATGCCAGTATATCTTTCCATCGATCAGGGGCTCAGAACTGTTCACAGTATTCCAGCTGTGGTCTGACTACTGCCTTGTGTAATGTTAGCAAGACTTCCCTGTGTTTTTTTTTATATACTTCATTCCCTTTGAAATAATGACCAACATTCCATTTGTCTTTACTATTACCTGCTGAACTTGTATGTTTGATTTTTGTGTTGATGCACAAGATCTATAGCTTTCTGAGTTTCTTTATTTAAATAATATTCAGCTCTCTATTTTTGCAGCCAACTGCATAACCTCACATTTTACCTCATTACACTCTATCTGCCAAGTTTCTGCCCACTCACTTAGCCTGTGAGTATCTCCTGTACAGTCTTTTGTGTCATCTTCACAACTTACCCT